TGATATGGTTCCAAAAGTTATCAAAAACTTATATTATAAACATTCAATTTTCATCATCGTATTCTATGATCTCGAAGTCCGGAACTCCACCAAACCCATCAACATCATCAGTGCTTCTTCAGAACTTTGAAGCGTTCTATAAAATTGAAGGCAATCCACTTCCTGTGCACCTCTTCTACCTCTCCTTCTACCAATACATAAGAATGCCCAGTATCATTAAATGCACTATGGATACCACTATTGTAGAACTAAGTAAAAAAGTTAAACCTCTTCAAGTTTACAAAATGACAAAGACTGATTTTTTTAGTACAACTAAACTGGAAAAGAAGATTATCAATAGGAAGAAGTTTACAGACTCATCTAAAGTTAGTTGGCTACATACAAAAGAAATTAAGTTGGATAAAGATAAAATGTTTTCTATTTTTATGCGGTCTACGATGGAAGACGATTTCAATGAGTTGAAAATTGATAAAAGAATAAAACGAGAACTGCAATACATAAAAGAATCTGATTTTTGCTTATTGTGGCCTAACGACAAACCGATTGCTCCAGCGAAATTAGTGGACTTACAATCCATGTACCACTACATACCCGAGGATTGCCTTCAATTTTATAGAACGCTTCAAAGTTCTGAAGAAGCACTGATGATGTTGATGGGTTTGGTGGAGTTCCGGACTTCGAGATCATAGAATACGATGATGAAAATTGAATGTTTATAATATAAGTTTTTGATAACTTTTGGATCCATATCAACAAATTTTTGGCATAGGTTCTAAGCTCAAAAGATCACGTTCTATTTTTTTGTAATACATTTTCAAATATATTTTTTTGTTGTTTTTGTATGTTCCTCATTGTTATTTATTATTTTACATATTTCTTTTTGGTTTATTTTTATAAAATAATACACTTAAATTCGTTTTGGAAAGTTTATGCATAATTGCTATTTAACAAGGTTCATACAAAATTAATTTAGCAAAAACATTTCAAACTCGTTTTACCTATTTATATGCCCCTTGTATTATGTATTTACAAAAAATATGCATATCATTCAATAATCAGTTTGGCATTCCATAGTTAAACCAATAGTATTTGCCTGAAATAATTACAGGGAAAAAGTGTGTAAATTGCAAATTGGGGTTGCTGTGGGTTGGAACATTTTCGCGTTACTACGTCCAAATATACCATAGTTATTTATTTTGGTAAAAAATATCTTTTTCTCTAGAACATATTTAATACCAAAAATGGATCAAGTATATGTGGATTGTTTATAGCTAAAAATTTTAAAATAATATATTATAATAATAGGTTTCAATTTATTTAGAACAGTGTTCGCAGCTTAAAAAAACAGTATGGATTAATCTAAAAGGTTTCAAATTACATGGAACATTTTTGCAGAAATAAAAAATGTATAAAGATTTTGCAAAAACGTTCCAACCCACATGGATCATTTAAGAAACCATTAAATGTGCGTTTTATGAATTTAGTATAATGTTCCAAGACAAGTGGAACATTATAACGATATGTTATTCTATTAAGAGTTTTTAACAATATGTTTCAGTATGCATGTAATGTTTTTACTTTATTTTGAGTACACGTCCTTGGCATAATGGTGGGTTGGAACATTTGGGTTAAACTTTATTGATGAAACTAACTTAAAAATACTAGCATCTTTGTGTGCACATGATGTAATATGGCAAAAATAGTACCCTGGTTATGGTAACTCATTTTCGAGTGACTTGTGGGTTGGAACGTTTTCGCGTAACTACGTCCAATTGACGTTTCGCTGCAAGAGCACTGTTTGTTTTTGATACGTTGAGGTGTCCGTTGTACGGGGTGTTGACTTATCTGATAGGAATCCGGTAGGAGTGAGTAATAGATGCGATGATCGAAAGTGTTTCGCGGCGCGCGTTCAGTAGTAGCAGTGGTACATACAACGTGCGTGCCTCTGAGCTCGCCAGGGATCGCAAGTTGAACATCTTCAATGTCACCGTGCAGTTCCTCGATGATACCCAGCAGTCGTTCCAAATCGAGGTAAGTGACTTCTCTTGATAACATCAAAACAACAATGTCTACTATAATATACTGTACCATAATATCACATTTACTGAGGGAACAAATATTTTTTGTGTCATTTTGTTGAAACATTGTTTGAAAGTATTTTTCCAACTCTGTTATTTCGGCAGCTGGAATACAGTGATATCTACTTAATTAGAAAAATTGGCTTCTATTTACAAGATGATATCGATAGTGGAAAAGCAAATTGCTTTAACGCCATTTTAGCGTATTAGATGTTGCTTAAGCAAAAACCTCTCGGCCCACCATACTTTTTTTGTCAAGCAAACATCAAATCATACACCAAATAGTAAGATGTAAGCGCCATTGGTTCAAAAAATCTTTAAGTTGCCAAAAAGTACTCAAATATTCAGGAAATAAACAGATCAATGCAGAAAAAAAATCTGATTCAAATGGTATATATAACTCATTTTCAACCAAAGTGATGTATAAGCCATTTTGCCTTTCCACTGTTGATATATCGAGGAAATAACATACAAAAGAGGAATTCTTAAATAAAAGATACTGAATAGGTAGTTTGTTGTTTATGATTAAACAATTTTTTTTACAGAAAAAAGCTAAGGGCAACGTTTTATTAGAGCAAGTGTACCAACACCTGGAATTGGTGGAGAAAGATTACTTTGGTCTGCAGTTCACAGAAAATGGCTCACCACCAAATGCTATGAATACTGAAATAACAGTAAGTAAATTTCTTTTATGTGTAGATAAATAAAATTTTAGGTTAAATACCTTATATGAATCTTCTTTCCGTATGTATCATAAAGATTTTCATAATGAAAACAATGTAATTTTGTTTATTGTAATTTTTATTTAACTCAAATTAGGAAAGATTCATATTCATCATATTACATTAACAAATTGTTTTGACTATGGATTAAATGAGATGGAACTACAAGTTTTGTCAAATTTGTATGTTTTAATTTTTTAGCATCAGAATTTTATAATATACATACATGTCATACATAGTTATACCTTCGCCCATAGGGTAGGATGCACTTCATTCTGCTTGCTATGATCCTTACATACTGTGTGTGCTCTATAAAATCTCATTAAATTCTTTATGCTAGCTGTGCTGAGTTGAATATGCCAATATTTTTTTAACCTTAATAAATGCATGCTGCATTTTTAAGTGGGACTCTCCTGTGTGCTAATTGGTCACATTAGTTAATGCTCACATACCAATTTAACTTCTGTGGTTTACCATTCATGCCAGGTAGTGATGGTGGCAACTGGCCAAACTGATAGCATATAGCCAGTTCACATATGCCAGTTGTGGGAGACGTCCTGACACACATTAGGCATTCCCTAAAACTAGTACTTCCCACTGAGAATCCAATCCCTGCTAAGTATTTCTAATTACCATGATTGGGGCACTTATGTCAGAGAGTAGCCAATGATTTTATTACTGTGATCAATGATATTACGGTTGGGTAGCCATTCGCTGAATGTGATAACACAGAGTCAGAGATGCTCATTGTTATCATATTTAGTGATCCTCAAGATCCTTGTACCTCAAGCAAATGTCGATAAATGTTGCTTTTCAGTCATTGGTGCCTATACCTTACTCTTGACTTGAGGCCTGATAGTGTCACTTTTTCTCCTTCAAAGGAAAGGGAGATTTCGTTATGTCACATTGACATTTGCATTAACTTTGATGGTGATCACAAAATTAAATTTAGATAATTAGCCTCCAACCACTTTGTTATTATGTACTTTAACAATTTGATAGATAACTGTTTGCATAGTCTGTGTCTTCCTTCACTCACTACTGATTCATGTCTCTTTTGTCAATATCCTTTCACTCATTCTTTTCTAACCATCTGGATCCCTGTCAATTTGTGTCACTATGTATATATATTTAATATATGTAGTTATATACATTTTTATATCCCTTGTTTCTTTTATAACACCACCAACTCCAGTTTCTACCAATCCTCTCTATCCAAAGGTTGTTTGGAAGAAATTGCTTTTAGCGATAAGACGGGCCATTGAATTACTATGTTTAAACATAATGTATTCACCCCATTTATGTACTGTACTGTGGTGTTTTCAATAAAGAATTGTGTATTGTATTGTATGTCTCCTATGAAACCACACATTACAATAGTTACTATAATAGTTTAGTATGTCAAAACTCATGAAGTACTCTTAATGCTATACATTCTTTACTATTGTAAAGAACTTGATTAAGTTTCTTATTCATCATCATCAGCCTATTATTGTCCCTACTGTTGGGGCACAGGCCTTTCCTATGGATGGAATATTGGGCCATGACCCACCATGCGGGTCCAATGCGGATTAGTAGGTGCTGACGACTTCAGATGCAGCCGGGACCAACGGCTTAGCGTGCCTTCCGAAGCACGGAGAAATTCGAGCTAGAAGATTTTTGGTCACCCATCCAATGACCAACCACTGCGAAAGTTGCTTAACTTTAACGATCGCAGCCGAAAGCGCTAATCATGCGCCATCGAGCTCCTCACATTAATTTGTATTTTATTTTGGATCAGTACGTTATCATATAACATAGTATATATTAGATGATACCCAATTAAAACTAAACCATATCTATTAAATAAAACAGAAAAGTTGTTTTTAAACCATTCCCTTATTTAGGAAACTAATGGTGTCGATTGTGGAATGATTTTCTTAAGCTAAAATTACATTTTACAACTGTCTATCCTTGTCATACTTTTTACGGAATCAAAAGGATAGACTGATATTAAATTTAGTTTTAAGTTTAGAGAATCGTGCCGGAATTGACACCAATGTGTTATTATATTTCTGTAGTTATAATAAGATTATTGCTCATCTTTTCTTAATAAATTTACTAACAAAACCGAACTTAAAACTGTACTCATTATGTAGATTATAGTGACTTCAAAGAAATAAGTTACAAATATTATGATTCACTATAAAAAAACTTCTTTGGAAATCTTTGCATTCCTGCTAGGCGCCCTCTTCTTTATTGGTCATACAATTATGATTCATAATTTCACCTGTTGCAATGAATTGTAATCTGGTTAGTACACACGCGTCAGTGACTTGTGAATGTTTACGCATAACTTTATCTTTTTATCTACACATAATATAGAGTATAAAAATACTTAGTAATTAGTAGACGATATCGGCTGCAAATGTTTAGTAACAAATTTCCTGCAGTTTTTCTTTAAATTTTTAACTGGTATATAAATAATATAGATTATTTTCTTTCCCTCTAAATATTTAAATTTTGAATAGTAATCATTTAAAAGACAAAATCTTTTGATATCATAAATTAATTAGATGTTTTTATAACATCTCATTGACTGTAGTTCTTTAAAAAAATAATTATTGATAAACTAATAAAACTTTTTTCTTCTTCTAGCGTTGGTTAGACAGTGGTAAATCGGTGAAAAAGCAAGTAGGAACCAATGCGCAGTTTTGGTTGGCAGTTCGTTTCTATCCCCCCGAACCGTCCCGCCTCGCTGAAGAGTATACCAGGTACCTGCTGTGCCTGCAGCTTCGGAAACTCCTCTTGGACGGAAGGATGACAGCGCCCAAGAACACCGCGTTGTTGCTTGCATCCTTCACAGTACAAGGTAATAAAACCACTATTTATGAAATATACATACACAATCTTAATTAAAACTTTAACTAAATATCCTTTACCAATTCCTAGGTATATAAGTCATTCAGAATATGAATAATAATAAATTTAGGACAGGAAACTGATTAGTTATTCAGAATCAGATTTATTCAGAACCTTTTTCGTTTACGCGCCCAGGTTTTAGGTGCACCGTATATATTTCACCTTATTTGATCATTTAGATTTTTCCCATATAAGTCCCTCTGTTAATTTTATTTATTTATTTATTTACATCCATCCCCTTGAGACACGCGTCTGTGAACTTATTTTGTGCAAATATGGAGTAACTATAACAATAAAAAATAATTATTATAACTATTCAATGGATGGCTTTTTTACTGAAGATTAAATGATGAATTGTTTAAGTACTTTTTTTTATTATTGATTGTCTTAGGCCAGTATTATAGAAAGATTCTCAGTAATTAATCTAGTCTTGAGCATAGATAGAAAGGGATGTCGCTATATATAGCACATAGCGACATCCCCTTCTAACTGTACTCAAGTAAAGTTCAACACTTAGTTGTCATTCTGTAATACAGGCCTTAGTCTGCAAGTCAATCAGCATAATTAAGTGATTTTAAAGGCCTGTTACTAACTATTCTAATTTTATTTTTCCCTCTTCCAGCTGAGCTGGGTGATTACAATGTATCGGAACACCCACCCAATTATCTCTCAGAGTTATGTCTGTTGCCGAAGCAGACCTCTGAAGACGAACGTCGTATACGTGAATTGCACAAGTTGCATCGAGGGCAGGCCCCAGCAGATGCCGAGGCGAACTTTCTAGAACATGCTAAAAGACTAGATTGCTATGGTGTGGAGTCGCACCCGGCTAAGGTGAGATATATTTGCTACTTAACATTATCATAATAGGGATGATAACAGGGTAAAATAAAAGAATTTCTAGTAGTAGTCCGTCAGTTAAATTATCAAAAAATAATGGACAATTTATTCTTTCTTTTGTCACTCAACCAAAAAATTACAATGATAGAGCGCGTCGAAGTTTGGGAGTGATGTCACTTCTAAGTATAAAATGTACCAAGACGTGACGTCATGCGACATCTCAAAGCAATATATCTCTGTAATATTTTAATTATGTGAAAAAAATGTGTGTCTATAGCTTTTGGATAGTCTATCTGATATACAAAGAAAAAAAATTTAGTCATCATAACTATAGTAAATGTTTACTTACCGCCTAGCAACGAAGCAACCATTCGAAGAACGCAAGAAGGCTATTGAATTGAATAGACTTTAATTTAATTTATTGTGAAAAACCAGTCCCCCTAGCATGGGCACCGCGATATAAAACTCGTAATTATCACGCTCAATTGTCAAATTACTATGGAGGGTGACAGTTAGACGCGATAAAGAAACGTGATATAAAGTAAATTGTTGTGCTCATGCTACGAGACGTGTGTCTCACGGTCACAATGTTTAAGTATTACTTTTATCGTTCCTAATATCAATACCTAATGAAATAACCTTTTTTATGGTCTGGGTTAAGCCCAGTAAACTAATGCAACTTCCTTGTGACACAGATTTTTTATTCCAAAATACAATAAGCTATTTAGGATATACTATTTCCTCTTGATTATTGATAAATAGTTGTAGGCTACAAAATTTCAAAAGTGGTTTGTACGCCGGGTTTCATGGTGTTGCCGACTCGAGAGGTCCCGGGTTCGAATCCCGGTGGGGGCAGATGTTTGTGTGATGAATACATGCATTTGTACTCCAGTCATGGATGTTTAATATGTATTTCTATATAAATATACTTATATATGTACAGTATATGTATTCTATCCGTTACCCTAGTATCCCATAACACAAGCCTTATAGTGCTTACTTTGGGGCTAGGCTAATTGGTGTGTGTGTTGGAAATATTTATTATTTATTATTATTATAGTATATATTTATTAGTCAAATTTGATATTTTAGTAAATTGATTTATCCTCTAAAAGTATGTATTTTATCATTATCTCCTTCGAAAGTTAATAAGCCTCTTCTCCATTATTGAATGACCACAACACTATTTCTGATACTATATTTCCAGTAGTCAAAAAAAAATGTTATTATTAACAAAATCGCTTGTTTTGTTTTATCAGGATTACAATGGGAAAGACATTTTTATTGGCGTGACGTCAATAGGAATAGTTGTCTTTCAAAACAACATCAGAGTGAACACATTCTCTTGGAGTAAAATCGTCAAGATTTCCTTCAAGAAGAAACAGTTCTTCATACAGTTGAAGCGAGAGCCAGTAAGTATACTTTTTATTTTATCACTAGTGGCCCGCCTTCGCTTTGCTTCGGTGTAGAGCTGTAGTGTAGACCATAGTTTTTGTTCTCAGGCATTTATTATACACAATGATATTCTTCTAATACCTAATTACAATAGGCACGCGCCGCCAGGCCCCCCGTCCGGTAGCGTCGGAACCGCTATGTCCCTTCATTTTAAATCTGTAAAATCTTCGAAAATATTAATTTAAATTACATGCATTATAGGGCCAAATTGATCTATATTAAATGCACAATGTATTTAAGGTACTAAATTGGATAAGGATGATATGATGGATATTGCTGAAAATCGCTTCGTAAATAATCTGTTATTTCTCGTAAAAAGTATAGGATAAAAAATGGTTATTGTGGATTATACTTAAGAGATAGACATATACTGAAGCGACTTTGCTTTATACTATGTAGTGATTATAAGTACATAGTTGTATATTAACAATTATCAAATAAGTATCAAGTCAATTTTAAAAATATATATAATAAAAAAAAAAAACGAGCGAGCCTTACAGCAGTATGATGTGTAAAATTTGAAACTTCACCTTATATTAGTAAAAAAAGAAATAAAACCTACTACACAAAAGGAATAAGCCATTTGAACATTATGTTCTAAAATCAAATCAAATAGCGCCCGCTTCCCAAACTTCCTGTTACACACTTCCGTCCCACTTCACGTAATCACTCCCACAATTTGCACGGAAGCGAGAGGAAAGATGTTACACATCAATAATAATAAATCATTTGTTGCAGTCTGAATCTTACGACACGGTATTAGGGTTCAATATGCGTTCGGGCCGCGCGGCTAAAGCGCTATGGCGGTGCAGTGTGGAGAGGCACGGTTTCTTCAGACTTCGGGCGCCTCGTAGAAGGCCCTTATTGGGTGCTCTAGGTGCCTTAGCGGGTATAACCGCACCCACAGTGCCTAGAACTGAAACGCAGGCGCTAGAAGATGCTAGAAGATCGAGGTCGTCCAACAGAAGTTTTGTTAGGTATGGTTTGGTAATGTTTCATTTTCTTGATTTTATGTTGTTGTGTTTTATAATTAATCTTATTATTTTTTTGTCAAAAGTATGTTTTATTATATTGTTGTTGACTTTAAGAGAAGTTTCATTATGTGCCTACTTTATAAATTATCAAATTGTTAGCTATAACCGGTGCAGTTAGAATCTTTCCAACTTTAAATTAATAATAAGTGTGTGAATGAATCGATCATTGTTCTGATTTGAAAGATAGATTAGTGTTTGAAAATGATTTTATCAATATTTTTTTTAACTGCAGTGGGGGATCACCAATGACTATCTCTAACCTTCCCCTTGACCATACAGATAAGCTCAAAAAAGAAAGTATATTTTTTAACGTCCTCTCTCTCTCGGGAAAGGCAAAGGGAACAATGCCTATATAGCCCAGTCTTTAGTTTTATTACATACACATTCTTATGTTTCGGAGTGTTTGAAACTGATTTTATCAACATTTTTTTAACTGCAGTGTGGAATCACCATAATGAACCAACTCTGTTTTGCTTTATTCTAGACGCAGCAGTTCCCGTAACCGCGAACGTTCATCGGGCACAGCATCGCCGGCCCCGATAACTGCCATCAACGCTAGTGCTAGGGGGGCCCGAGTGACCACAAACACCGAGCCCCCGCCTAGAGAAGCGTGGACCGATTGCGCTCCGCCTGTGCAAGAGTGAGTCCCTTACGATGTACCGAAAGATTGATTGATTGAACTATTTATTGCGAAGAAAATGCATTTTTTTTACAATAGATGTTGCTAAGTGCGCTTAAATATGATTCATGTAAGCTGATTTTTTTACAATAGATGTCGCTAAGTGCGCTTAAATATGATTCATGTAAGCTGATTTTTTTACAATAGATGTCGCTAAGTGCGCTTAAATGTGATTCTTGTAAGTTTTTCTGAGAGATAAACTTTTTTAATGTAATATAAATTGTCATGTTTGTGTACGATGGCGCAATAAATTTATATTGTATACTACTACATAAATGATAGTACTTTTATACTGATAAAGCAATTCGTGCAAAATTATTCCCTTACCATTCCTAAATATCAAAAATGCACAACGTTAATATTCAAGTTTTCACTTCTGCCGGCACTCCCGGAGTGCAACCCGTCGTTTCTTTATAGAACTTTTTAAGTGGATATATGATTTTTTTTAAACTCTAATCATTTACGCACGCAACGTAAGCTCTCAAATGGGGTTTTCCCGTTTTTGCAACATTTTTCACCGATTCTCCTCCTCAATAAATGCACTATCCAACCAAAATCATTTTTATAATTTTATTTTTTAAGCATGTAACTGCTCTATATATAAATCTAAAGAAAATATTACTAGAAATATGTTTTTTCAAATCGTTCCAGTAGTTCCTGATATTAGAGCGTTCAAACAAACAAACTCTTCAGCTTTATAATACTAGTGAAGATGTATCATTCCAAGTTTAACTGATACCTACATTTTCCTTCTTCAGTGACGGTGGTTTCCTAGAACGCGCTTTACGCGTACCCCTATCGTACGTGGATGAATCTGAATCCGGTTCGGAAACGGGCAACGGGGAGGTTTGCGTGCGATTGACCGCGGCTGCTGATGGAAGATTCGGGTTCAACGTTAGGGGAGGAGGGCCCGCGCCAGTGCTAGTGTCGAGAGTGGCTAGTAATACGAGGGCACATCTACATGAAGGAGACCAGGTAAGATTGAACTAGGCATACATAAACTGGTAGGAAGTAAGTTCGTATGCAATTAACAGCGGCCGCTGACGGAAGATTCTTGTTTAACGTTAGGGAAGGAGGGCCCGCGCCAGTGCTGTACCCCTAGCACGAACCAAAATCGAATTCGTAACATTTGCGAATCCGAAAAGTCATTGTCAAATATGTACTGATTTTTAGTTCTCGTTACGGACTTTGTGGCGCTGCTGTTCAAGTTTCGTTCAGTTCCGTGTATTTATATTTTTGAAATATGTATCTTTGTCAAAATTCACCCTGACCTTTATAAAACTAAAAAAGACTGCTGTACTTTTAACACTAGGTATCCAAAAAATATGTGTTTACCAGACTCTAGAACTGAAATTTGTAGTAGAAATAGCTTTACAATGTCCGTGAAAATATATAATAATTTGCCTGAGCCATTAAAGTCATTACCTATGTCCTTATTCAGACGTCGTCTATATAAATTATTAATAGAAAAATGCTATTATTCACTTGCAGAGTATTTTGAGGATAAGTAGGCTGAATGGACTTCAATATATGAAATTTTGATTTTGGACATGTATTATATATTTATAGGGGTGTAAGGGGTTCTAAATACACCTGCAAGAACCCAAGCCAACCTCACCTTCACGTGGTGCACCCTGTTGACCAACAGACGAGGCTCTGGCAAACCGACCGATGGCGGTATAACCATCCAAATGACGTAGGGGAGGAAAATGTCACTGGTGACGGGCAGCAGCGTCATCAGTAAATAAACCTACGCTCTGCGATCGCCAACCCGCCTGCCCAGCGTGGCGATTATGGGCAAAACCTTCATGCACAAGAAACTCAAGCCACGGCCCCCAGTTCCCGGCAGCCCCGCTATTCCTGGTCACGGTGGCGACCACGGTAACGGTGGGGCGGGGGGTGCCAAGAATCTCCGGGCTACGGGAGGCCACCACAAAAGACTGACCCTGGCGACGTACAACGGACGCACGCTACGGCTTGACTCGCATCTGGCGCAACTCGAGGTGGAACTTGGAAAGATTAGGTGGCACATTTTAGGGTTAAGTGAAGTCCGAAGAGAGGGGGAGGACACCATAACCCTCGAATCGGGCCACCTAATGTACTTCCGCGGGGGAGACCAACAGTCCCAAGGTGGCGTTGGGTTTTTGGTAAATAAGTCCCTTGCCGATAACGTTGTGGAAATGTCCAGCGTGTCGAACAGGGTAGTGTACCTTATTATAAAGCTCACCGAGAGGTATAGCCTCAAGGTGGTGCAAGTGTACGCACCGACCTCGACACACTCGGACGACGAAGTGGAGGATATGTTCGATGATATATCGAGGGCCCTCCACTCCACTACTAAGACCCACTACAACGTTGTTATGGGGGACTTCAACGCTAAAGTGGGAGTACAGAATTGCAGCGAATCGGTAGTAGGATCCCATGGATTTGGAAGCAGAAATCATAGGGGGCAAATGCTCGTCAACTTCCTCGAACAGCAGGGGCTCTTCTTGATGAACTCTTTTTTCAAGAAACAGCCCCAAAGGAAGTGGACATGGCAGAGCCCCGACACTATGACTAAAAATGAGATCGATTTCATCATGACGGACAAGAGGTACATATTCAGAGACGTCTCCGTGATCAACAGGTTCAATACCGGTAGTGATCACCGACTCGTCCGGGGCTCTCTGAATATCAACTTTAAGGCCGAGCGCGTCCGTTTAATGAAATCCAGGCTCCAACCTACTTTGCTCCAATCTATAACAGGATCTGAAACGTTCCAGTCAAATCTGGAGAACCGATTTGCTGCCGTGGAAACCACATCAGACGTAAACCAAAACCTCGAAAATGTGGTTCGGATTCTCAGGGAAGAGGGTACGAAACTATGTGCAACGCAGCGTAAGGGCAGGAAGTCAAAGCTTTCGGAAGAGACTTTAGGGCTAATGAAGGAACGACGTGAAAACCCACCCGTCACTTCGTCGGCAAAGCGGACTCTAAACCAAGAGATCAGTAAGCACGTACGACACGACCTCCGATGCTCCAATACTCTCTCGATCGAGAGAGCGATCGAGCAGAATCGAGGGTCCAAAGTGTTCGTACAATCTCTTGGAAGAAGCCATCTGACGAAGTTGACCACAGCAAGTGGGGAAGTTGTTGCTTCAAAGCCGGCAGTCCTTTCGGAAGTGGAAGACTTCTACAGCCAGTTATACGCATCACATGCATCTCGACCTGATCCCGGAAATGAGGATTCTAGAGCCACATTAACACGCCACTTCACCGAAGACCTGCCAGAAGTCAGTATTGGCGAAATCGAGATTGCTCTTGGACAGCTTAAAAATGGAAAAGCCCCTGGAGAGGATGGTGTTACAACAGAACTCTTGAAGGCTGGAGGTAAACCCGTACTGAGGGAGCTCCAAAAGCTTTTTAACACTGTCCTGTTCGAAGGGAGAACTCCGGAAGCGTGGAGTAGGAGTGTGGTCGTCTTGTTCTTTAAAAAGGGGGACAAGACCCTACTTAAGAACTATCGACCCATATCCCTTCTAAGCCACGTCTATAAGCTGTTCTCAAGAGTGATCGCGAACCGTCTTGCGCGAAGATTTGATGACTTCCAACCACCGGAACAGGCTGGGTTTCGGAGTGGATACGGCACCATAGACCACATCCACACAGTGCGGCAGATTATACAGAAGACTGAGGAGTACAATCAGCCCCTGTGCCTAGCATTTGTGGACTATGAGAAGGCCTTTGACTCGATTGAAATCTGGTCTGTCCTGGAGTCCCTGCAGCGTTGCCAAGTCGACTGGCGATACATCCAAGTGATAAGATGTCTCTACGAAGCCGCCACCATGTCTGTCCAAGTACAGAATCAGCAAACAAGTCCCATACCGTTGCATCGTGGAGTGAGACAAGGGGACGTTATTTCCCCGAAATTGTTCACTAATGCAATGGAGGATATGTTCAAGACGCTGAACTGGAAACGACATGGCATCAACATAAATGGCGAACGCATCTCTCACTTGCGATTTGCAGACGACATCGTCATCATGGCAGAAACCCTGCAGGACCTACAGCAGATGCTGAATGACCTGGCTGACTCTTCTATACGCATCGGCCTACGGATGAACTTGGATAAAACCAAGGTCATGTTCAATGAACATGTTCTACCGGAACCGATTGCAATACACGGTGCCGTTCTCGAAGTTGTTCAAAAATATGTATACCTCGGGCAGACATTGCAGTTAGTTAGAAACAACTTTGAGGACGAGGTGAATAGAAGAGTTCAGCTAGGTTGGGCAGCGTTTGGGAAGCTACGTCAAGTCCTGACATCGTCGATCCCACAGTGCCTAAAGACGAAAGTCTTCAATCAGTGCGTCCTACCTGTGATGACATACGGAGCCGAGACGTGGACACTGACGGCACGGCTGATCCACAGGTTCAAAGTCGCTCAACGCGCTATGGAAAGGGCTATGCTCGGCGTTTCTCTGAAAGATCGCATCAGAAATGAGGTAATCCGACAGAGAACCAGAGTTCTCGACATAGCCCACCGGATTAGCAAGTTGAAGTGGCAGTGGGCTGGCCATATTTGCCGAAGAACCGATAACCGTTGGGGTAGACGAGTTCTGGAGTGGAGACCGCGTCTAGGCAAACGTAGTGTAGGACGTCCTCAGGCACGATGGAGTGACGATTTGCGCAAGGTGGCTGGCAGGAGCTGGATGCGAGTAGCCCAAGATCGATCTGAGTGGCGTGCATTTGGAGAGGCCTATGTCCAGCAGTGGACTATGATGGGCTGTTGATGATGATGATGATGATTATATATTTTGATGATTTATTTAATTTGTTTGACATTGTACGATACTGATTACTGGAGGATCCTAAAAGCAAATATTGGTGCATTTACTATTTTACTTTTTGATTATTATTTTATTATGAATCGACACCATTGTATGATTATTATTGATTATTGAAACATTGCGAGAAAACAAATTTTTAACATTGGACATTTATTTTTTTACATTTTAATGGATAATTTTATATTTATTGACATTGTATAATATTGAGTATAAAATGATCTTGACATGATATTGATAAGCTGACAAGCTGCTGCTGTTTAACAGTAAAATATGTGAGACATGATTTTTATGCAATAAATTATTATTATTATTCTCTTTATTTATTGTATAACATATTGATTACATTTTTAAATATTGATATAAAAATAAAAACATTTAAAAATATAAAAAATAGAAGCCAACCGGCAGCGGGAACAGGGTCCTAGCTACCGGTGGTTAGGGCCCCAGAGAGAGGAACCTCCTCACTATGCGAGCCGTGTCAAGGAGCACTGCCTTCTGTATCAGGCCCTTGATCCAGTCACCCAACTCGAGCCTCCGCAGATGACAGTCGAAGCTCTTAGCTATCAGGCCATTGACTGTCACAACTATCGGCACAATGATAGCCGAGTCAACATCCCACATGGCGACAACCTCATGAGCCAAGTCAAGATATTTTATTTGTTTATCTTTCTCGGCTTTCATGAGGTTCTCGTCATGAGGGATGGCCACATCAACTATCATTGCGAGGCGCTTTTCCCGATCTATCATCACTATATCAGGCTTATTAGCAACAATAGTCCTGTCAGTGATGATAGATCGGTCCCAGTACAGCGTGATATGACCACTTTCGAGAACTGGGTCGGGCACATACTTGTAATATGGCACCTCAGAAGCAACAAGGTTGTATTTCAGGGCAAGTTGCTGATGGATAATCCTGGCCACTTGGTTATGTCTGTGCAAGTACTCGCCGTTAGCTAGACGAGAATTATATTATTATTATTATTATTATTATTTCCATACAAAATTTGACATTGACATTTCGTTTTGCAAACTATTCGAATTCGTTAATAGTTCGTGCTAGGGGTACTGGGGGTCTACTCTCTCCGAAACGAACTTTCGATAACGAAGTTCAAACGAAATTTAATTTCGTCAATTTAAGATTATACTTAATTTGAACGATAACTATCAAATTGAAGCTTTCTTTGAGTAGGCTTAGAAAATCTACACCTCAATCTATATTCCGACGACTAATACTATTATAATTAAAAACAAATCAGAAACATAGTAAGAAAAGTGTGAAATTTCAATCTAAATTTCGTTTTTCGTTGAATTAAGAGTAGGCCTCCAGTAGTGTTGTCGCGAGTGGCTAGAAATACGGGAGCACATCTATATGGCATATATTAACTGGTAGGAAGTAAGTTTGCGTGCGATTAACCCCGGCCGCTGACGGAAGATTCGGGTTCAACGTTCAAGCGCATTTAAATAGGTAGGAAGTAATTTTGTATGTGATTAGACGCGGCCGCGAACAGAAGATTCGGTTTAACGTTAGGGGAGGAAGGTCCGTGTCAGTACTGTTGTCGCGAGTGGCTAGAATTAAGAGAGCACATCTACATAAAGGAGACCCGGTTAGATTTGTACTAGGCGCATATAAACTGGAAGGAAGTAAATTTGTATGTGATTAGACGCGACCGCTAAAGTAGGATTCGGTTTCAACGTTGGGGGAGAAGGGCCCGCGCCAGTACTAGTGTCGAGAGTCGGTAGCAATATGACAGCAAATCACTAGTACGACGAGTTTTACATGTTATTTGACATCTTGTAACATCCGTCCGAAGAAATGCCCTCGAAAAATTCAATCAATAAAGTTAATGATCTGCCATGCACCTGCAAGAATTAATCGATGTACTTTCCTCATATCTGTTTATATGATACCTGGCTTAATCTATGAATCTTTGTCCTTCAGGTAATATCAATTAATGGCAACGATGTGGATGAAATGACGCACGAGCAAGTGGTACAAATGATAAGGAACACGAGAGGTGTCCTTACTCTCGTCATCAAGCCTAATGGTTAGTTGCTTATAACAGTCTTTTTTTTATGTTAAACTAAGCGGTAACCCGCGACTTTGTCCGCATTAACTTTAGGTATTGAGAGTCCTATGTCTCAATTCAGGTAATAAACTATACGTGTGCCCAATTTCATTCAAATCCGTTCAGTTAAATTTAGTTTTTTGAGAATCTCACATTTTTCCCTTTTAAAAAGTATCCTGTGTTTGAATCCAGGTCATAAACTATATACGTACCAGTTTTCTTCCAAATCTGTCGATTAGTTTTTGCGTGGTTGAGTTACAAACATAAAAACTTACACAGTTATACATTTGACGACCTCTGTGGCCGAGTGGTTTATACGCCGGGTTTCATGTCGCCGACTCGAGAGATCCCGGGTTCGAATCCCGGTGGGGGCAGATGTTTGTCTGATGAATACTAACTAGCATTTGTACTCCATTCATGGATGTTTGATATGTATATCTATATAAATATACTTATGTATGTACAATATATGTATTCTATCCGTTACCCTAGTGTCCCATAACATAAGCCTTACAGTGCTTACTTTGGGGCTAGGCTAAATGGTGTGAGTGTTGGAAATATTTATTATTTATAAAATTAGTAGGATAGATGGCAAACAAGCGTATGGCCCGCGTGATGGTAAGCGGCCACCTTGAGTCTATAGATGCTCGCAATACCAAAAACTCAATCCCCTACCCCGTGGAGCCCTGGAGCCTTACACACCGACCGAAACACAACACCAAAAGGTAGTGTTATTGTACTGTCTTGGAGAGCTACACACCTAAAGCCAAACAAACAAAAATTCTAAAAACTATGTTTTTGGCTTCGGTATAGATTGAAGATCACACCCTAAGTATTCTTTTAAAAAAATATTCCATGTACAGTTTTGACTTACCTACCATTTTATTATATGTATTTATTTCAGCCGTATACGAACCCGAGGAAACAGGCCCCGAGGAACCAGCCGTATGTTTCGTCCCTCTCGGTTCGGGCGAGTTCGAGGGAGACGCATTAGAACAGTCGATGCTTCTCCTAGGCGACGGATTAGCCAGTGGAGCCGCCCTAAAACAATACGAGACTTTACTTAGCAGATTGGATGAACCAACTACAGCAGCCAAATTACCACACAATATGAATAAGAATAGATATAGGGATATAGCGCCTTGTAAGTAAATACTCATAATCAAAATCATTTATTCAGTTTAGGCTGTTACAAGCACTCATAAATGTCTAGAAGCTACGCCATCGGTTCGTAAATCTGCGGCGAGAGACCTTGTACTGAGAAGAACCGGTAAGAAACTCACCAAGGACTGTTTTATTCTCCCTGTTTTATTATCCCTGTTTTATTATTTAGAGTCGTCAAATTGAAAAATGGCTTCAGAGATGATTCTTGATGTCTCCTCTCATCACGTAATGATTAAATATACATTAGTTGTTTATCTGCATTTTGATTGCTTTGTCATACAGTATAAATACAAAATACTCAATATTCATGCATACATAAAAATAATATTTGTCTGTCATAAATATAATGTTTGGGAAAGGACTAGCCAGTGGCACTGCCCTCAAATAATACGAGACTTTGCTGAGCAGATTAGATGAACCTACCTCAGCGGCGAAATTACCGCACGATTTGAATATAGATATAGGAAAATAGAGCCTTTTAAGTTAATAATAATAATGCATACCCTAAAACACAATTTATTTGTCTGTCATATCTTAAAGAGTTCACAAAACCTTGAACTTTTTTAAAACTTAAAAATATACCAGTCACAACAATACTTTACGATTACCAGTGTTAAGATAGGTATACTTTGTTTATTATAATTGTGTTTTATTAAAATTGGTCTCAAATATTGTATTTTTTCTACCTATTTGAAATGATATACCTAAGTAACATCAAAAAAAATTTTTTTTTAAGCATGTAACTGCTCGATTTTTAAATCTAAAGAAAATATTACTAGAAGAAATCCACGAGGACCAGGCATCAGACGGCACTCGAACCCGCACCCTTCGCTATACGGGCGAATGCACTGACCATTATGCGACACACACGGCCGCGGTAGGTCCTAATGGCCGTGTCGAATTCTTTCTAGCCTTTCTTAGCTGCAAGCATTAAAATTAATAAATATTATATTATAATAAAACAGTTGGCCGACAATAATACTATTACTACTTTTTGAACAAATTTTATTCAGACATTAGAATTTTAAAATATATTTTAAAGTGAACCTTATATAACATCGCCATACATTTTTTCGTTCATCTTAAGCATGTCGCATTACATTTTTATTTTTATTAAAAAAATCAGACCTTATCAACACACATCGGTGGTTCAGTGGTAGAAAGATTTCTACGCGGGCGACCCGGGTTCGGATCCCAGTCAAAGTAGGAGTTCTTTTATTGGTGATTTTATAAGTCGCACTTGCATTGTGGTTTCATAAAACATACCATTTATTTTCTTTTCATTCCAGACGATTCTACTAGAGTTATATTGAAAAATGGACCTACGGGCGACTACATAAACGCTTCATATATAAACATGGAAATTCCTAACTCCGATTTAGTATTAACTTATATTGCAACACAAGGTGAGGTATTAATTTTACATAGGTATTTAAAATTTTATAGAATTTATAAGGTTTATTTATTATAACCATATTTTATTATAAAAAATTTAATACCTGTAGAAGGTAGCGCGGAAAATCAAAATATAAAAAAACATAAGTTAACTCTTAGAGTCTGTGCGGAAATAGAATGGGCGCGGCGAAAAACGGAACTAACATTAAGATTTTTATTTGGCAATCAAACCCAGAATTCTGTAAAACGTCAAAGTTTTATATTGATACGGATTTGTTTGCTGTTGTGATTTCTTGCGGTTTTTTGTATTTAATCATGTCTAAAAGGGGTAACACCTTACAAATACGGTAGAAAAGCACTACAGCGCCCACCAATCTAAACCCCATTCTCTTTTCGCACAGACTACTCGATAAGTGCCGCTGCTGTCGGTTTTTTTATATACATTTCTCAGGCAGGACCATGTCTGTCTGCTTTATTTTATTAGGGATAACAAACAGTTGTACAATATATGTTAAGTAAAGGCTTAGAATTATGTTATACTTATTGTACAACCAAAACGAATTATCCGCAGATTAATACTAGGATTGTTTTGATTTCACAGGTAAATAAATCTATACTAAAATAAAAATATGTGCTTTGCTAAAATTACAATTAAATCTTAATTAACTTTGAAAATAAAACTCTCGTTTATTATATTTTTAATCATTTAAATGCTCGCACCGGCAGCTATCCGGGCAGACGCACTGTTAAAAAAATAGGTGCGTGTACTTATGTAGGTGCGTGAGAAGTTATCCTTCTTTGGCATCGTTTAAAATTAGTTTTTAATTGCATGCAAATAATTAATTACAATAAATTAATAAAAAGTGTGGAAAAGGACACAGTCAATAAAGTTCAGTTTTCATTTGAAAAAATAAATAAATAATCAAAATATTCAATTAAAATCGCTACTGAATATAATTTATTAGAACATATGTGATTTGCACTTGTATGAAACTCAAACACGTATTCCGAATATACAAACTAGAAACATGTGGATAAATATTATAAATATGAATACCTATGACTGTTACTTTATTACAAAAAATAAAGATGTGGTTTTTGGTTCTACTACACCAATGGTCAAGAGATGGCGCTGTAGTCTCCTGAATCGCGCTTTGGTTCCGTTGTTCCAGATTAATAAATACTTTTGATATTATAAATATGAATACCTATAACTGTTACTTTATTACAAAAAATAAAAATGTGGTTTTTGGTTCTACTACACCAATGGTCAAGAGATGGCGCTGTAGTCTCCTGAATCGCGCTTTGGTTCCGTTGTTCCAGATTAATAAATACTTTCGATAGGCCTTCACAATGCAGTCGTTAGCACCCACTAAATAGAGATTCTATTTCTTTTTCTATTTTGTTGGTAGATTTTCTTAATGTGCGGTAAACACAAAAGTAACGCATGAAGTGTGCATGCTGTTAAAATTTTGTGTTACAGTGATGCGCGCGCATCTTAAAATTTCACTCATCATTTTTTCATAACGCGCCTAAAGAAGTATAACTTCAAAAAATATTAAGATTTAATTTCTCGTTTGTCTAAAAATTACAAGAAACTCGTTGCCCAATTAACATACGTTTATTCTTCCTTTTTCTTAGGTCCGTTGTCTTCAACCGTAGGTGATTTCTGGCAAATGGTCTGGGAGAGCGAAAGCAATCTAGTTGTGATGCTCACCGTACTAAGCGAGCGGGGCCGGGCCAAATGCCACCAATACTGGCCCAAGACTGGCGCTGGCCCGTTGCAGGCCACTTCTAACCTTACCGTGGCCACTACCAGCGACACTTGCCACGGACATTATGTACGAAGGGAGATGTGTCTCAAGGTAATTATCATCAATATTATATAGAAATCACTAGTCGTGATGCTCACTGTACTAACCGAGCGGGGCCAGGCGAAATGCCACCAATACTTTCCCAAGGCTGGCGCTGGCCCGTTGCAGGCCACTCCTAACCTTACCGTGACCACTACCAGCGACACTTGCCACGAACATTATGTGCGAACGGAGATGTGTCTCAAGGTAATTATTATCAATATGCAGAAAATCAGCGGCCCGCATTATTTAGCTTTTTTTAAATCCCTCAGGAACCTAACACTTTTCTTCCATAAAAAACCAGCCAAGTGCGAGTTGGACTCGCGCACCGAGGCTTCCGTACAATCTCAATTTAATACCTCTACGCGTTCATGAGAAAAGAGGTATTTACTTTAAAATTTTCAAAAAAAAATTAATTATATGATGTAACTAAAAACTAAGATAAAGGAAAAATTCAGTATCAGTTACTCCATGACCATGGCGCTTGCAACAGTGCCGAAATATCGGAGACTCATAAAAAACAAGGTACATGGTAACAATCCCGTTAATAGCTATAATGTTAGTGACCATGAAAGTTTAAAACAATAGACCTTATTTCTCTGATTCTACGCGCAATTCTGAATGCGTTGTTAGCAATATAGCAGGTATAGACCGCGAGGAAAAGAGACGGCTATATTACCGACCATGCATTTTAATATCACAAATATTTTCTATGAAATCAGTTTTTAATATGTATTAGAACAAAATTTTCTTCAAATCCGTTAAACAAAGAAACATTAATTAGATACATGACGAAAAAAAGAAACTTTAAATACCATAAGTATTTTTTTCAAAAATTTTCACGGAGCTCTGCGGCAACTTGACTTTTCAACGGTCGCACTGTGTGGAAATTCGTAATCTAGGGGGATTTAAATCATTTTTTTTTGTCAATAATTGATGATATAGTGTTACTTATTTAAACCTAAGGCCCTATTTGATACAGCTACATATTAGAAATCCTGTAGTAAGGTAAAAAAAAATATAAATAAAATATGTTTAAGTGGGTACATAATAATCGTTGTGTTCTCACAACACGAACAACCACATTAATATGTTATCTTCACTTAGAATAACCTATTAAATTAACGTGCTGTCTTGTTTATTAGTTTTTTATTTTATTGTGTATATATTTTAGGATAAGTTAGTGTATTTTTGGTAAGTAATAGTTGTTCGTAAAGTTGAAAAATTACTTCAGAGATACTTCTGAAGTCCCCTTCCATTACATCATGTAGCATATAGATATATAGTTACAATAAATGTTACAGTTAACTTTATATTTAGTATACAGGAAGCGGCATCAGATAGGTACCATATTGCTGTTATGAAAAATGACTAATACACATCAAATAACAAATTACAAGAAACGCATTAATGTTATATCTCAGGAAAGCGGCGGCGGTACTCGTTGTATAACCCAGCTGCAGTACACCGCGTGGCCGGACCACGGCGTGCCCGACGACGCGACGGCCTTCATACGGTTCACGCAACTCTGTATGCAGCTGAGGACGCATAGAACGAGTGAGTCACTAAAAATGAAATGCAATTATTAATTTGATGAAGATGAAATGATATTGTATTGACACCGTAACATTTTTTTTTTGTAAATATTGTTACATAAATATTTAACGCTGTGATGTCTTTTTCGCCAGTTTTTCTCCACTGCCAAAAAAATGTAAAGGTAATGGTGGTGGTGGGGAAAAAATATGAACGATTCAAAAGAGTTGTATTTTGTATCCAATTTGAATAAAGATATTATGACTTTTGAATACATTAAATTCACAGGAAACAGAATTATTGTACTACACGCGGTATACGTGTCGCATAATGATTTGATGAATCGAATTTTCGCTAAAATCTTAGGGATTGTCAATAACGCGGATAATGAGGATCATTACTAGGTTAGCATCAACTTAAAATCAGTATAATGTTCTAATAAGCTTTTTAATTAATATAGTATTTAAATCATCGAAATCGGTTCATTCGTTGCGATTTTATAACAAATTTTATGGTAGCCAATATTCACCGGGCGGCCGAAACGTGTGGTCGTCACAGAGATCGATCATGGTTTTACTCTGGTCGAGCTTTAGTAGCGTCTACGCACGTTCGCGGCCGAGCGCTAGAGCTCTGTGACGTCACAGTCACCACGCGGCCAGCCGAAAATTCGTTTAGTAATTTGTTCATAACTTCGTGAATATTTGTCGTAGAACAAAAATTTAACCACTGTATTTTATGGAATCCTTAGCTCTATAAATCTACATTCTCAACTAATATCGTTGCGGATCCTCATTAGGCAAAGGCGATGGCTTACTGAAAAAAGATAGGATTTTTGCGAAAATTGCGAGTTACGTCAATAAGATTGCGAAAAGAATCGTTAGCTTATTATAAACATTCTTGCGGTTTCGGGGTTTTTAGGTTCATACCAAGTTAGGTTAGATTAGTATCGTGCATAATTAACCATCTTAATACATGAAACAATGCTCTGCTCTGTACTATCACTACCGCAGGCTGTTGTGGGATGAGGTCAAATTCCTGCAACCCCATATGTATTTGCAACGAAATCGTGCAGATTTCGTATGATGCAGATCTGCACTCCCCCAAGCGAATTTAGAACTGCGCCCCGCAGCGTACTGCGTAGGCAGTATGAGAAGCACCTAAGATACTTGACCTAAAAAGCATCTATGGATATGCAATTTGCTCTTTAGTTATACACAACGATGTTTTATACCCTAGATACAACAACACGAACAAAATCGTGGTCGAAACCTGTCCACGGAACTCCGTAAGATGATCGCGTAGTCAAAAACAAAATATAAGTCATTATTTAAACATTTAAAGTCACCATTAATGCGTAGTATTTAAGGTCTTAATTTAATCGCATGCGTCAAAGAGTTGTGACAATTCGAAATGCAAGCTCGTAAAATTTTACTACTTCTTGATATAGCCGGAAGCATACCGACTTTATTTCTATGACTCTACATCATATCGTATATAACCGACCATGCATTTGAATATCACAAATATAGTAAGTATTAAATAATAGACAAAATTTGCTTTAAATGCGTTAAATTAACAAAGATTTACCTAAATCGGTGAAAAAACGACACCACGTACTATAAGTATTTTTCTGAATTATTTCACGGAGCACTGTGGCATCTTTATTTTTCAACGGTCCGTGCGTGACTGTGAACCAAGAAGTGCGTAGTATCGTTCAAGCACTTCTTGATTGGGATACATTTTGAGCGCACGTGGTGTATCTAGCGTATAAAATGAAAGACGACCTGCGTGGCCGAGTGGTTTGTACGCCGGGTTTAATAGTGTCGCCGACTCGAGAGGTCCCCGGTTCGAATCCCGGTGGGGGCAGATGTTTGTGTGATGAATACGAGCATTTTTACTCCAGTCATGGATGTTTAAGATCTATTTCTATATAAATATACTTACATATGTACAGTATATGTATTCTATCCGTTACCCTAGCATCCCATAACACAAGCTTACTACTGCTTACTTTGGGGCTAGGCTAATTGGTGTGTGTTGGAAATATTTATTAAAAAAAAAACGTTTGTTATACACTATAAATGTTAAAGAAAATTAGCTACTGGTCGCGTCAAGCTTACAATTACTTCAACAATATTTTCTATTCCAGTGATACCCACAGTGGTGCAAGAGCCTGATGTAGAAGAGCGTCTTCTAGACCCTCCTTTAATCGTGCATTGCTCAGCCGGCGTAGGCAGAACCGGGGCGCTAATACTAGCTGAGACCGCCATAGAGTTGATATCTAGAAGGCAACCTTTCTACCCACTCGATTTAGTTCGAGCGATGAGGACACAAAGACCGATGTGCATACAAAACGCCGTGAGTAATTTATCTAATTATTATTATAATCAGAGTTAATACTAGCCGAGACCGCCGTAGAGTTGATGTTGATATCGTGAAGGCAACCTTTCTACCTGCTCGATTTAGTTCGAGCGATGAGGAAACAGAGACCGATGTGTATACAAAACGCCGTAAGCAACTCATTTTACTATCATCATCATCACTAGCCTGTTCATATCTTCACTGTCGGGGCACAGGCCTTTCCTGAGGATGGAATACAGAGACTAGGCCATGACCCAACACGCGGGCCCAGTGGGGATTGTGGTGGTGCTAACGACTGCAGATGCAGCCGGGATCAACGGCTTAAAGTACCTTCCGAAGCACTTGAGATATGTTTGAATTTTTAATCCATTGTGAAAGTTGCTTAACTTTCACGATCGCAGGCCGAATGCGCTAACCACCATCGCCATCGAGCTCTTGAAAACATTAACTATATTGTAAATATAAAAGTTTGTATGTTTGTTACTCAATCACACAGAAACGGCTGAACGGATTTGGATGAAATTTGACATACAGTTTGTTACCTGGATTGAGACATCGGATACTTTTTATCCGATTTTTTTAATGTTCTTGATGGATTCTCAAAAAACTTGGTTGTAGCCTGGACAAAGTAGCGGGTTAGCTAGGAAGCTAGTGGATATTAAGAATATGGATAATCCAATAAGACTGGTCTGTTTTTGGCCCGCTGCAAGAGCTGCGATCGGTGTTTAGGTCGGATCAATCTTATTAGTCTTAATCGTTCGTTTACTAGATCTAGAGGAAATCTGAAGCGTTCGTGATTCCGCACAGATCAGCCCGATGTGGTCCGATGTAAATCTGTATGCTCGGAGTATTTTGACCGACGAGTATGATCAATCTGGTTATCTTCATGTATCTGTCATGTTGTGAGGTTTGTTTTTGTTTGAGGTTAGTAATTAATCAACGGTTGGTCGGGCCGTTCAGTAATAGCAATTTGCTCAGATTAATCTGTGAACACGTGACCAAAAGTCAGTCGCCTCTGTGATGTAAATATCGAATTTACGCCTTCATTCATTCATTACCGCCTTGTGCCTCAGTTTACTCATTTAGCGGCAACAAATTCCACCTCAGCTCAGACAGACGGAAACACAACAGTATCATAAGTGTTAATTCACTACGGTCTTCAATAAGTTACGGCTACTATCTATTTTTCATATCCTTAAATGATAATGGTTGTCCACTTGTAACGTAGTGTTCTGAAACCTACAATGCGCCTTCGCGCCAAAATTTAAACTATTGGGTACTGTAAGGTAGTGTTCTTATATGGGTTAGGAGGAATGTTATCCCAGGAAATTGATAGAACACTACGTTACACAACCCTAAAATTTTTTTTGAACATTTTTTTATAATGTGGTATTAATAAATACATACAACAATAATTTTTCTCTTCTACCACCTGCCCCTATTTTTATGGGGGTACGAAGTTCGCTGGGTCAGCTAGTAAGACTATAAAAATATGGCATCTCTTTGTCCACAGAGTCAATACAAGTTTGTGTGTGAGAGCATACAGTCAGCGTACGCACAAGGTCTAACCAAAGCGCCTTCAGAAAGCGGCACCAACTGATAACGAATAAAACCATCAATCATTATAACTGTAATAGTGTTGCGATAACGTACATAGTAGATAAGTATTTATAGACGAAGTAGTTTATTGAAATGGATATGGAATACTGAGAAACATAAGATGGAAAAAATATGATAGTTTAGCCACAAAATAAATACAGACGGTAAACTCATGTATGTACTTCACTTTTTATACCTACCCTCGGCGGTCCCGCTAGGGTTGTCAACTTTGGCTGATTATTATTTAATTTACTGTCGAGAATCAGACAAAAAGAACGGAAATATAAACCAATAATAACTATAATGTTACAAATCTAAATAAATAAATGTTAGTAAAACAATTCGCCGTTTAATGTTGAATTTAAACAACTCTAGTGAACAGAATTTGATAACTTTATTTTTGGTGTTCCATATTTCAACAAAAAAGTTCAGAGTCGCGTCGCGTCTCAAGCGGATGGAACTCGCGCCCGCAGTGGTCCCAAGCGGTCCGAGATACGTGACTATGTGTGTGTTGCTTATGTAGAGTAGCTCCTGTACTATCTGTTTTGTGGTATAACGGTCAGCTTCAATAATATAATGAAACTGGTTTACGATAGAACAATTTTTTTTTGATAAATGGGTTGGCTGCCATCTGTTCAATTTACCTTTTTTATAAAATTTATATATAATTGTAAACTCACAAATATCTTAAATATTATTAAATAAATAAATAAAAAAATAAGTATTTATGAGTGTAAAACCTGTATATACTGTGAACCTTAAGACGATGCATTTAAAATCATATCAGTTTGTCTTTACGCTGTGTTCAAATTGTTATAGTATGCATTGTGTATCATAGTTCCATAGTGTTCATTTTAAGCTACCAGTTGTCCTTTTAAGTCAATTTTTACGATAAATGTACCAAATTTTCGATATTTATATCAAAATAAAATTGACAATTGTTTGATTCAAATAACGAGTGTGGAATTGTGAGTAAAATGGGTTAATTTTATTTTACTATAATTTTTAAAAATATGGAGATACTTTTGTAAAATACTAATAAAAAATGTTGACAATAGTTCCTTAGCTCTACTCAAAGAAGTGTCAATTAATTCTATAATTCTCAGTGAAAATATCTTTTTTTTTTATAAATATTATAAACATTAAAAAAGGCATGTGAGTGAGTTGAATTATTTGCATTACTTAGCACCCAAAATGTTTAGTAATAAATTACTAAGTAGTTAGAAAATCACTTTAAAAGATTGTAACCAATTTATTCTGACGTCCTGACAATAAACATTGTGATCAAATGTGATCAAATCATCGTTACGTTATCGCTACGCTATCTATAGGTAGGATCATACGCACTATGTTAAATTGAACGAGACCAATATGACCAAAAGACTTGCGTATTAAATTATTATCATAAATGTAATATTAAAAACTAAACTATTTTTAAGGTAGCGGCACCAGTAACCGACAAGAACCAATGATCGACATTTAGTTCTATGATCAATTAAAACAATAGTAGCCAACCGATCACTAAACTCTAGCTGCGTTTGTTATTTGTGTCTGATCAATCTTTTTAGTCTGAATCGTTCTTTTATTACATCTAGAGTAAATCTGATACCTGGCTAAAAATCGATAATTACGCTCAAATGTAAATCTGTTTGCTCGGAGTATTTTGACCGACGACAAAGATGAATCTGATTATCTGTCATGTGAAGTTAATTTCTGTTTGAAATTAGAAATTAATCTACGGTTGGTCGGGTTGTTCGTTAAGAGCAGTTTGCTCAGATTAATCTGTCATCACGTGACTAAAAATCCGTCGTCTCTGCGATGCAAATACCGACCGCAGCTGTGATGATAACACCGAAATATAGACGCCATGTTTAGTGATCGGTTGCCTACTATTGTTTACATTGATCACAGAAAGAAATTTCGATCATTGGCTGCTGTCGATCATTAATGCCACAGCCTTAGGTCTCAAAATAATGACGTATTATAATATTAATTATTATTCTTAAGTGATCAACGGTTTGTTCGTGTGATGTGATTGTTTTAGCGTTAAAAATGACTTTGACTATGTTTAACAATTACTAACTGGTTTTCGACTAGATTTTTGATCCATTTATCGAGTTCTCGAATAATGTTCATGTAGGTACCAGAAATAACATATCAGATTATTGTTAACAAGTGGATGAGTTCTATTATTTTGTTCCAATTATTTATTTTTAGTGATAGTTTTTTTATTATTATTATTTTCTAATTAACCTAGTACATTGTGATTGTTTATTATTTCAAAGATCTATTTAGGTAAAAATAAAACTAAACTTGTAGGTCAATCTTGCCTTTCCAACGAATTTAATGTTTCCTAATTTTAAAACAGATGATGTGTAATTTTTATTAATTTATTTTCATATTTGAATATACATATAATATTTTTTATTGCTTCTTTTCTGTGCCATTTACGAAGAGTTGTATTATGTAATTAAGATAACAAGTGATATTTCGCAAAAATCACTGCATTTTTATTGATTGACCCCTGTATATTCCTGTTTTAACGATTAGAATCTCATTTTATGTTGAGTGCTATCGCTCTGTTAGGTGATAGCACAAAATATGTGCGCGTGCGGTACGGTGCGCGCCGCATTTAGAATAAGGGTGACGATGCTGTGAAAAACTTATTGACATTTGACGCGTATCGAGATCGAATTCGATAATGGTGCATGCTAAGTAGTGCTTAGCAGATTACGACTGTGAAAGTTAAATTTTCGTTGACCAGTTCTACGATGGGTGACCATAAATTAATTATCTCGGGTTCGCCTCACTGCTTCGGTAGGCTCATTGAGCCACTGGTCCTGGCCACACCTGAAGTCGTTAACTCCCTTTAATTCGCACTGGGCTTGTGGGGTACGTAACGGCCTGATTCCTATTTCATCCATAATAAAAAGGCCGCGACATAGCTCTACCAAGCAAGCTCTTCCTACCGGACAAGACATCAGCTGGTATCCGCTCCCGCTCTCTGCGGCAGAATCGCCACCACCAGACTGTCATTGACCCCTGCCGCAATAAAAAAAACGAGCAAACCTTACAGTAGTCCGTATGATGTGTAACATTTGAAACCTCATCTTATATTAGCAAAAAAAGAAATAAAACCTACTACAAAAGAAAGAAAAGCCATTTGAACATTATGTTCTAAAATCAAATCAAATAGAGCGCGCTTTCGCGACTTCCTGTTACACACTTCCGTACCATTTCATGAAATCACTCCCACAAATTGCATCAAAGCGAGAGGAAATATGTTACATATCAATAAATAAAAAATATATTTACAAAATGAGGAGGCTAGGGTACTACCAGATTGGACAACCCGCATGGACTGTCCATAAACCCGAACTGACTCAAAATTTCAACCCAACACGACTTGTTCTATCTCCACCCCCGATAAGTCCACCGCCTGCTAGCAGGTCGCTCACTGGGCCTACCGTATGGGTTTGACCCGGTGGGCTTGACCGCGCCTAGGCACCGGGTTGGTGGTGAAGCTTTGAGAGGGAAAGACGGACCCCATTGTCCGCTTCATTCGAGACGAAGCGCGCAAATAGCCACGTCTCAATAGGATAACACCTTACCAGGCGCCACGGCGCCTTCGGTTGATTGAATTTCATCATTCTAAGTTCAGAGGTTTCGCATCCAATGAGTCAGTCAGTCAGATTTTCTCTTTATATAATAGTGTAGATATAAATTGTACCAGATGTTGAGTTTGCCGCACGTACATACAGTCAAATTCTATCACGGAAGAGGTGATCTGCTGGCTGGAATTTGTCAAATCCAGAAAATGAAGAAGAGCAATTATCTCCGTTTCTATGGTTCCAATCACTTCAACACCTATTATGAAAATTAAAGATGATAAAAACAACTTTTGTTTCGACTTTTTTTATATACGCTCAACCCTTTTTGGAGGGCGGGGAGCACCCAACGCTCAGGCATATATACTGTAATACAAGGTCAACCGTGAATCTCGGTGAATAATACATTGTATACTAAATCATTAAAATATTATCAACAATTAATAATTTGTATTAGTTAATGGTTAATAATTAGATGGCTCCGCTTAGTACTCTCTCGATGCCTTGGAAAGTTTGCAGCTGTCCGCATCATGGGCGATGAAGAGGTAACTAAGAAACTCGAGTTTCTACAATTACGCCGCGATATGGCATCTTTAAGTGCATTCTACCGACTATACCACGACGAGTGTTCTGAGGAGTTATTCTCCCTTATCCCTCCATCACCTTTTCTTCAGAGGACCACACGCGCTGGCCTACATTGCCACCGAGTTACTGTGGCCACTATTCCTACACGAACAAAGAAATTCGGTAACTCATTTCTTTGTGGAATTCTTTGCCGGCGCACGCGTTCCCTCCTTCCTATAATCTGGGGTCCTGTGTAAAGAAGCATTTTTGCAGGTCGGCAAGGTGAATATGGTTGGTGTAGCAGTTTATAAATGCTATACCAGCTATCTTCGCGTTTACACTTTATCACCATTTAACATCAGGTGAGGTAGAGTATTTTGCCTACCTGGCTAAAAAAATATATAGTCAGTGCATTTGCCCGTTCAGCCAAAAATAGGTATTCGTTTGGTACCTAGATTAAATTCTAGATTAGATTTTATAGTAGAATATTACGTCAGTTAAGATTAAAACCTAATTACCAGTTAAATTTGAACGTACAAATATAAACACACAGTAAAAGGAGAAAACACAATAATTTATCCATATACTTCGTTAAGAAAACATAATTTGAAGGTACAAATACCGAACAGAATCACGCTTGCCTACTACTTTACCTTTGCAAAGGTAATTGCCATTTATTTTCCAGTGAATCATTAAATGAAGCTGTGGTTACATACGAAAAGTTATTTTTAGGTGGCTTGATGAGCTGTAGTCGCCTTATATTTTCGGTTTATTATAAAATTACAATAAAAATACTTGCATAGCAAAGAGGTACTTTATTTTAACTAGG